CCACTCTCTCTCTATCCCGTCTGTCTGCCTGTCCCTATAATCTCTGTTAATCTACCCGTCTATCTATCATCTATCTCACAACTCAATGTCCATTTTCAAGAAACGTTGTTTCGAAAGCAGTTAGCCACTTCATTTGTCATTTTTAAAGATCTGTGAATGCCACGTTTCCCCAGTAAAAATTCTGCGTTTACGTATTGCAAAAAAGATACTACAATACTGTTAATAATAATAATAATGATAAAGTTGGAAGGGACCTTGGAGGTCATCTAGTTCAACCCCCTGCTCAGGCAGGAAACCCTATACCATTTCGGACAAATGGCTGTCAGGTCTCTTCTTAAAAACTTCCAGTGTTGGAGCATTCACCGCTTCTGGAGGCAGGTTGTTCCACTTGCTTAATTGTTCTCACTGTCAGGAAGTTTCTCCTTAGTTCTAGGTTGTTTCTCTCCTTGATCAGTTTTACACCCATTGCTTCTTGTCCTGCCTTCAGGCGCTTTGGAGAATAGCTTGACTCCCTCTTCTTTGGGGCAGCCCCTGAGACATTGGAAGACTGCTATCATGTCCCCCCTCATCCTTCTCTTCATTAAACTAGACATACCCAATTCCAGCAACCGTTCCTTATATGTTTTAGCCTCCAGTCCTCTGATCATCTTTGTTGCTCTTCTCTGTACACTTTCTAGAGTCTCAACATCTTTTTTACATCGTGATGTCCAAAACTGGATGCAGGATTCCAAGTGTGGCCTTACCAAGGCATTGTAAAGTGGTATCAACACTTCACCTGATCTTGATTCTATCCCTCTGTTAATGCAGCCTAGCACTGTGTTGGCTTTTTTGGACTCCGAGGTCCCTCTCACAGTTACTACTATTGAGCAAGGTACCCCCTATACTATACCTGTACATTTGGTTTTTCTTGCCTAAATGTAGAACCTTGTTTTTTTCACCATTTAATTTCATTTTGTTAGATAGCGCCCAGTGTTCAAGTCTGTCCAGATTCTCCTGTCTCCTAAGCCTGTCTTCTGGAGTGTTGGCTATTCCGGCCAGCTTGGTGTCATCTTCAAATTTGATGAGTTCCCCATCTGTCCCTTCGTCCAGATCATTGATGAAGATGTTGAAGAGCACTGGGCCTAGAACAGAGCCCTGGGACACCCCACTACACACTTCCCTCCATGTAGATGCAGTTCCATTGAGGACCACACGCTGAGTACAGCCGGTCAGCCAGCTATGGATCCATCTGGTGGTGATGCTGTCTAACCCACATTTTTCTATCTTATCAAATAGTAGGTTGAAATAAAGTGTTTACGGGTTACGCCTGGAAGCTCCTGAAAGCTTGCAAAAACAGCTCAGAAATTTCTCCTGCCAAGTTGGGAAACGGCTGCTGGTTAGGTGCCATTTAATGGGGCACGCTTGGAATGTTGAAATATGCTGTGGTCACTTTTACATTTGCTGCTTTAACAGGGCCCGTGAGCCCACACACCAATAACGAGGGTGGTGATTTTTATTTCACAAGGCTTATGAGTCTCAAAGGAGTCCTAAGAGCAACTTGGAAATTTAGGCATTGCTGAGATGGCTACCTTGCTTCCCGGCATGCCAGCTTCTTCTTAAAAATTGCGAGAAAAAAAAAAAAAGGAGGCAGGGGAAGTACTGGATGCCATCAGAGCTCAGTGGTACCGTAGCAGGATATCCCTCGGGCAATATTGAGCTAACTAGAGCATTCACGCGCTTCGATTTAAAACAGCTTTCTGTGCTGCTAGATGGAGGTGAGTAAGTTGAGTCTGGAAAGAACGGTGCAATTTTCCTTCAATCGTCTCCTGAGAACTTGGAAGAGTTTCAGCAAAATATTGCTGGAAAGAAAAAAAAATCAGTTGTGCTATAACTTTGAGCAATACACCCCAACTCTTAAGAGCAGTGGTTTGTTGTTGTTAGTTAGACTCTCTATTCATTTTCCTATCAACAGTTCTTGATCTGTTGCTGTTGTTAGTTGCGAAGTCGTGTCCGACCCATCGCGACCCCATGGACAACGTTCCTCCAGGCCTTCCTGTCCTCTACTATCTTCTGGAGTCCATTGAAGCTCACACCTGCTGCTTCAGTGACTCCATCCAGCCACCTCCTTCTCTGTTGTGCCCTTCTTCTCTTGCCCTCCATCTTTCCCAGCATCAGGCTCTTCTCCAGGGAGTCCTTCCTTCTCATTAGGTGGCCAAAGGACTTGAGTTTCAACTTCAGGATCTGGCCTTCTAAAGAGCAGTCGGGGTTGATCTCCTCTAGGACTGACCGGTTTGATCGCCTTGCAGTCCAGGGGACTCGCAGGAGTCTTCTCATTGGGAGAGAGGGATTTTTGTTTTCCTTCTGTTAATTCACATTAATCTATGTAGGCCAGCTAACAAAGGCCCATTAAACCAGGTTATTCTGTTTTGCTTTGGTTTCTTGTACGGATCCTGCATTCCTGAAAGCTTAGGCACGTTAAGAAATTATCAGGGTAGTAACTAAAACAAATAGCATCCCTTTGGTGTAGATGTGGGGTTACTCCTGGATTATTCTGCATTCTTTTCCCCTCATGCTTTAAACAAGACAAAGACAATAATTCTATAGGGTAAATTTGGTGTTACAGGGGCACGCAAACAGGCGAAGTATCTCAAAGGTGCTTTTTCAAAAGGCAACCGGGCTTTGTTTTTTCCTTTGAACACGTTTTACTTCTCAGCCACATAAGAAAACCAGCTCTGAAATTAAATATCCAAAAGGAACATTTACAAATTCCACCAAAGGATCTCGAACTGAAACACTTTTGTGTGTGTCCATGAAGATTCCTAGTCATCCGGGTGATGATTGTCCCAAAGGTGCTTTTTCAAAAGGGAACTGGACTTGGTTTTTTCCTTAAAGACTTTTCACTTCTCCTCCAAGAAGCTTCTTCAGTTCTGACTGATTGGTGGAGGATGGAAGGGTTTACATTTCTTGCAGTCATCTGGTCGTTGAGGCCACTTGGAGGTTTATCTGTGTCCTCAGGGTCACCTGAGTGGTGCAAATGGGTGTGGAGCCCTCTTGAAACAGCTGAAAGGACTGTGTTGTAAACGGGAGATAAGTGGTGTCATACCTAAACCTCTAAGTGGCCTCAATGACTCTCAGAAAGAGTACAAACAACCAGATAATAATAATAATAATAATAATAATAATAATAATAATAATAATAATAATAATAATAATAATAATAATAATAATAATAATAATAATAATAATAATAATGAAGTTGGAAGGGACCTTGGAGGTCATCTAGTCCAATCCCCTGCTCAGGCAGGAAACTCTATACCATATTTTGGACAAATGGCTGTCCAGTCTCTTCTTAAAAACCTCCAGTGTTGGAGCATTCACAACTTCTGGGGCAGGTTGTTCCAGTGATTTAATTGTTCTGTCAGGAAGTTTCTCCTTAGTTCCAGGTTGCTTCTCTCCTTGATTAGTTTCCATCCGTTGCTTCTTGTCCTGCCTTCAGGCGCTTTGGAGAATAGCTTGACTCCCCCTTCTTTGGGGCAGCCCCTGAGATACTGGAAGACTGCTATCCTGTCCCCCCTCGTCCTTCTCTTCATTAAACTAGACATACCCAATTCCAGCAACCGTTCCTTATATGTTTTAGCCTCCAGTCCCCTGATCATCTTTGTTGCTCTTCTCTGCCCTCTTTCTAGAGTCTCAACATCTTTTTTACATCGTGGTGACCAAAACTGGATGCAGGATTCCAAGTGTGGCCTTACCAAAGCCTTGTAAAGTGGTATCAACACTTCACGTGATCTTCATTCTATCCCTCTGTTAATGCAGCCTAGCACTGTGTTGGCCTTTTTGGCAGCTGCCGCACACTGATTGCTAGGAACATAAATCCTTCCATCCTCCACCATTCAGTCAGAACTGAAGAAGCTTCTTGGAGGAGAAGTGAAAAGTCATCAAGGAAAAAACCAAGTCCTTGAAAAGGCACCTTTGGGACAATCATCACCCGGATGACTAGGAATCTTCATCGACACACACAAAAGCGTTTCAGTTTGAGATCTTTTGGTGGAATTTGTAAATGTTCCTTTTGGATATTTCATTTCAGAGCTGATTTTCTTATGTGGAGGTCAAGTAAAACTAGATCTTGCAATGTCGGTCATTCCAAATTAGATATGAAAACAGGGCCAGTGTGATCTGATTTTTGAGACAGATCCTTTCGATCTTTCCAGTGCGTCAGCTCTTCAACAGTAGAACAGATTGTCTTGGGAGGCTGCAGACTCTTCTTCCTCTGGAGTATTATTATTATTATTAATAATAATAATAATAAAGTTGGAAGGGACCTTGGAGGTCATCTAGTCCAACCCCCTGCTCAGGCAGGAAACCCTATACCATTTCAGACAAATGGCTGTCCAGTCTCTTTTTTAAGCAGAGGCTGGACAGAATTTGGCACGGATTCAGCAGTTGACACTAGTCCTGCAGTTCTTATAATGACATTAACCCTTTAAAAAAAAAACCCCACTGTGTTTCTCTGTGGTGTTTAAGAAATTTAATAAATTAAAAAAAAGAGACCACATTACAGACCAAAGCTTTCAAGAACAAAATAACATACAGTAAAAATCCACCGTTTAAACGAGTGTGGATATAAATATCGTAAATTAGACAATGCTTAAACACCTTTACCACATTATTTTATCGTATTCTCACTCCTTCCGATGCTTTCTCCTGGGTAATTTGGCTTCAGTTATTTTATTTATTATTTCATTTTTCTTAGACAAGAAGAAAAGAGCCAGCCCAGGAGATTCAGACAAGATAAAAGGGAAGAACTGGCATCCCGCCTATATGACTTTTGGCTTGAATACCTGAATACCTGAAAGCAGGCAGTTTGGTAAATAAGTACGAAGAACCCAAAATAAGCAAACTTAACGTGAAGAAACAGGTAGTCGGTGTAACTTTTAATACGGGTTAAAAACCATGCTTTTCTTAACTTTCAGCATGTGGCTCGAATGCTAGGCAGGCTACTTACATTACGGCTTATTTGCTAGTCGTTGCCTCTACTTGACTCAGAGAAGGGATGCTCAATTTTGCTTAAAGGGAGCGTTCAGTTTCCAGTCTTTCGAGGGGGGGTCTTCTCTGGTCTTCAGAGAATATGAAACCTGGGTCCTGCAGTCACTATAATGTCAGCGTAAGGAGCTGATTGGGCCACCTCGATCGCTCGCTGTTTCTGTAGAACCAGCAAGCTGTAGAAGCTCTCCGCCACGTCTTTCTTGCTCTGGTTCTCGCAGAGGGAGAGAAAGCTGAACGATTTTGCTCCTTGCTGTTCAAAGTGCTGCGAGGGAGAACAAAACAAAATAAGTAACTAAGACAGGTGTGTTACGAGCGGAGGCTAATTCTGTATCTGAAGTGGACAATAAGCAGCTTTATGAGAGAAGCGGTGTCCTTTTTGCAGTTAATAATAATAATAATAATAATAATAGTAGTAGTAGTAGTAGTGGTAGTAGTAGTAGTAGTAAAGTAAGAGGCGTCTTGGGTGCAATCCCAAAACAGCTGGAGCACCACTTTAACACCATCATTGGCATTGACAAATTCGTCATTAGTCAATTGCAAAAGGCGGCCTTACTAGGAACTGCTTCCATCCTGCGACGATATCTGTAATACCATCAAATAATATCTGTAATACCACATCTGCCTATCCCAGGTCCTTGGTAAGGACTCGATAGGTAGACAAAATGCCAAATCCAGTCTAAACATCTGGCTGACTGTGCGACGATCCATAATAATAATAATAATAGTAAAGTTGGAAGGGACCTTGGAGGTCATCTAGTAGTCCAACCCCCTGCTCAGGCAGGAAACCCTATACCATTTCGGACAAATGGCTGTTCATACAGATCAAGTGCTGGAGAAGACTCCTGCAAGTCCCCTGGACTGCAAGGCGATCAAGCCGGTCAGTCCTAGAGGAGATCAACCCTGACTGCTCTTTAGAAGGCCAGATCCTGAAGTTGAAACTCAAGGACTTTGGCCACCTAATGAGAAGGAAGGACTCACTGGAGAAGAGCCTGATGCTGGGAAAGATGGAGGGCAAGAGAAGAAGGGGACGACAGAGAAGGAGGGGGCTGGATGGCATCACAGAAGCAGGAGGCGTGAGCTTCAATGGACTCCAGAAGATGGTAGAGGACAGGAAGGCCTGGAGGAACGTTGTCCATGGGGTCGCGATGGGTCGGACACGACTTCGCAACTAACAACAGCAACAGATCAAGAACTGTTGATAGGAAAATGAATAGAGAGTCTAAGATGATAGAACCGATCTGCAGAACTGGAAACACAGTCCTATGTTGCCAAGCGTGTATCCACAAGGGACAATCCACTAGCTAAATCCGCTCGTATCCTCTGGTCCTTCCGGAAGAGCCTGAAGAATTGGCTCTGCCTATTGGTTTGGAGCCCAGAAGGGGGTGTTCCATTCTGGAGAGGGCTACTAACTTAGATGATCCATCTCCATCCTGTTTATGCCTTGGTCCAGTCTGCTCTCCATTTGAATGTTCTAATTTGTAATGCTTAACGTTTTAATATTTTTGTCCTAATTGTATTAAGTAGCTTATGATGCTTCTTTTTTTAATGTTTTATTGATTTTCTAATTTTACATTTAAGTGTTTATAAAAAGCAATGTGGCAGCTGAGTTAATCCATAATTCAATGACATACAAGTATCTTTAGTACAAGTCTCAAACTACCACATTAAAGAACTAATGCAATTCTTATTGTATCAATTAAATAAAAATAACATTCTTACATTTATCAATAATTTTTTAGCTTATACATATCCTGGTTATTTTGACACTCAGTCTTTATAGGCAATCAATGTCCTAATTCGTTTGTCCCAATTTTCAGTTTCCCATTCATATTTAAATTTAACATTTAATATTTATAATTTCCAAGTTTTAAGTAACCAAAGTTCCCTTTACCCCAATTCATCACAAAGTCTAATATTCAGGATACACGTCTTAAGCTTATGATGCTTCTTATGTACAGGTAGTGCTCAACTTATGACCACAACTGAGCCCAAAATTTCTGTTGCCAAGCAAGGCAGATGTTAAGTGACTTTTGTCCCGTCTGATGACTTTTCTTGCCACTTCTTGTTTAGTGAATCACTGCAGTAGTTCAGTCAGTAACATGGTTGTTAGGTGGATCTGGCTTCCCTGTTGACTTTGCGTGTCACAAGGTTGCAAAAGGTCACGTGACCCCAGGACATTGCGACTATAGCAATAGCCCTTAGACTTATATACCGCTTCACAATACTTTACAGACCTCTCTAAATAGTTTAGAGCCAGCATATGGCACCCAACAATCTGGGCCTTCATTTTACTGACCTCGGAAGGATTAATGGGTGAGTCAACCCTGAGCCAGTCAGGATCGAACTCTTGGCAGTGGGCAGAGTTAGAGTTCTAACCCAGAGGTCACCAACTTTTCTTGGTTGGCGGACCGGAGGAAAAGGGAGGGGGAAGCATTATACGTGCGTGTACAGGTGCATGCGTGCGCACGGGGCGACGAGCATGCACGTGATGCAAACGGGGCGGGGCTAGTGCTTGCATGATACTCGCTAGCCCTGCCCGTTCTTGTGCACAGCACTTGCTGCACCCCGAAGCACGGCGTCGGCCCATTTTCGCGCATCGAGGTGTGGCGGCATCCCATTTTTGCACTGAGGCGTGGCATTGGCCCATTTTTGTGTCCCCTTTTTGCATCCCGCAGCATGGCAACATCACATTTTTGCACCCCATGGCATGGCAGCATCCCGTTTTTGCACCCCAAGGCGTGGCATTGGCCTGTTTTTGCACCGTGCGGCATCCTGTTTTCATGCCCCGTGGCGCTAGCACGAGTGGGTGTGTGTGCAAGCACACTGGCCAGCCTGTCCCATGGTCCGGTGGCCAGCAGCCCACAGCCGACTACTGGGCCGCGGCCCACAGGTTTTGGGACCCCTGTTCTAATCACTGTGCCACCACGGTTCCATCATAACTGTCGTGAATACAAGCAGTTGCCAAGCGTCTAAATTCAGATCGCATGACCATGTAGATGCTGCAACGGTCATGAGTGTGAAAAATGGTCCCAGCTCACTTTTTTGGTGCCGTTGTAACTTTGAATGGTCACTAAATGAACTGTTGAGAACCATCTGTACTTTCTGCTGTGTAATTGGCAGGGATGGATCGCAAGTCAGATGGAACCTGCTTTGCGAGGAAGTAGAAGTGGAAAGAATTGGGGGCGACAAAATGGCTTTATCCTATCTGAAGCCAACAAGACCCACAGATTATGTAAATGTGGGGTTTATTATAATGAACCCTGGGCAAAAAGCTATTTGCCAATAGGGATGTTAATGAAATGCAGAGCCTAATTCCACTTATCCCTGGCTCAAACCAACCACAACATTTATTAAGTCCCAACGACGGTGCTGTTTCACATACTCGGTTAAGAAAAGTTAAGTTGTCCATACTTGTACCATCTTTTTCACTCTTATTCTGACACTGTCTAAGTAAGATGATTGGCAGGGATTGGGAACAAATGCAAGAGAGTAGGATATGGGACATCAAAGCTCAGGCTGGTATATAGGTTGTCCTCAACTTGCCATCGTTCATTTAGCGACCATTCAAAGTTACAACGGCACTGAAAAAAGTGCCATATAACCGTTTTCCACACTTATGACTGCTGCAGCGCCCTTATGGTCACTTGATCACAATTCGGGCAATTGAATCATATTTCTGACGGTCCTGAGGTCAGGTGATCCCCTTTTGCGACCTTCTGACAAAGTCAATGGGGAAGCCAGATTCTCTTAACAAACTGTGTTACTACCTTAACAACTGCACTGGATTCACTGAACAACGATGGGCGAGAAAGATTGTGAAATGGGGGAAAACTCACTTAACCACCATCTTGCTTAGCAACAGAAATTTTGGGCTCCGTTGTTGAGGGTTAAATGTAGTTTTTCTACCAATCTGAAGATCATTTCAGCTGAATATTGAGGAAAGGATAGTGCAAGTCAGCTGTTGTTGTTGTTAGTTGTGAAGTCGTGTCCGACCCATCACGACCCCATGGACCACGTTCCTCCAGGCCTTCCTGTCCTCTACCATCTTCTGGAGTCCATTGAAGCTCACGCCTCCTGCTTCAGTGACTCCATCCAGCCACCTCCTTCTCTGTCATCCCCTTCTTCTCTTGCCCCCCATCTTTCCCAGCATCAGGCTCTTCTCCAGGGAGTCCTTCCTTCTCATTAGGTGGCCAAAGGACTTGAGTTTCCACTTCAGGATCTGGCCTTCTAAAGAGCAGTCGGGGTTGACCTCCTCTAGGACTCGCAGGAGTCTTCTCCAGCACCAGAGTTCAAAGGCCTCCATTCTTTAGTGCTCAGCCTTTCTTATGGTCCAACTTTCACAGCCATACATTGCCACTGGGAAAACCATGGCCTTGACTGTACACACTTTTGTTGGCAGGGTGATGTCTCTGCTTTTTCGTATGCTGTCTAGATTTGCCATAGTTTTCCTCCCCAGGAGCAAGCGTCTTTTAATTTCTTGGCCGCAGTCCCCATCTGCGGTGATCTTGGAGCCCAGGAAGATAAAATCTGTCACTACCTCCATTTCTTCCCCATCTATTTGCCAGGAATTGAGAGGGCCTGATGCCATGATCTTGGTTTTCTTAATGTTGATTTTCAGTTCAGGAAAATTAGGATAAGGATAAGTCACCAGCCGTTTAGGAATAAGAGCAGGCTAGAATTATGGGCTGGTAAAAATGATAAAAGACCTTAACATGATGTTGGATTATATTTCTAAAACACGCTATCTGCCACTTCACGAAGAGCTTTGGCTTGAGCCTGGGGCACAGCAAAGAGGATAATTTTACAGAAACCTATCCTCTGATTTCAAGGAACAAATTCTGGAGATGCATCTGTTTTTGAAAAGTCTTTGCGGCTTAACATGTGAAGATGAACCATTTATTAAATGGTTCGAGATTGAATCATGTGCTTAGATATTGAATTTATGTTTATTAATATGTTCATGGATTTTATATCGGTCTTTTCTCTCACCGTTTCTGCCTTTTCCCAATTCACATTTGTTTTAATCGCTATAGTACATTTACGGTTTTTCCATTATTTTATGTGTGTGTGTATTCATTCTATTTATGTTGTTTTCTATATTTTATTATTAACAATAATGATTAAAACTAGAAAGAAAGGTTTATTATAGTCTATTATATCTTACCCGGAAAGTATTTAATAGTTTTAGTGTTCTCTTACTTCTTCTTTGTTCTTCGTAGTCCAAATTACATGTCTGATATCCCTATATCACAGATTAAAACAATCACTTAGTTGTAAAATTCATCGGAACGATAATAAAAGGAAGCATAAAAAATAAAGCATAGACGTATGTCATTAATGTCTTCCCAAATCTTGTGACTGTCTTCTAGTTAGCATTCTCTCTAGGAAATTTCACTATGAATCGTCAACAAAGATGATTAGGGGACTGGAGGCTAAAACATATAAGGAACGGTTGCTGGAATTGGGTATGTCTAGTTTAATAAAGAGAAGGACGAGGCGGGACATAATAAAGAGAAGGACAGTCTTCCAGTATCTCAGGGGCTGCCCCAAAGAAGAGGGAGTCAAGCTATTCTCCAAAGCACCTGAAGGCAGGACAAGAAGCAACGGATGGAAACCAATCAAGGAGAGAAGCAACATGGAACTCAGGAGAAACTTCCTGACAGTTAGAACAATTAACCAGTGGAACCACCTGCCTCCAGAAGCGGTGAATGTGCCAACACTGGAAGTTTTTAAGAAGAGACTGGACAGCCATTTGTCCGAAATGGTATAGGGTTTCCTGCCTGAGCAGGGGGTTGGACTAGATGACCTCCAAGGTGCCTTCCAACTTTATGATTATTATTATTATTATTATTTGTTCTACATAACTGATTTGGCAAACCGGGCTACATAACTAAATTTCCCATACTTCAATAAAGTTGATTAAATGTATCAGTACAAATGTCCATACAACATAGAAGTATCAGAGACGTTATTTACTTTTTTTGAAACTATATCTGGTTATCCTTAAAGGGCTTTTTTAAAAAAAATAATAATAATGAAATAGCTTACAACACAATGAGCAAAGGATAATGCAAATCACATTCAAATCAAAAATACAAATTAAATTTTATTATTCCATTGATATTACCAGCTGATCAAAAAAAAAANAATAAAGTTGATTAAATGTATCAGTACAAATGTCCATACAACATAGAAGTATCAGAGACGTTATTTACTTTTTTTGAAACTATATCTGGTTATCCTTAAAGGGCTTTTTTAAAAAAAATAATAATAATGAAATAGCTTACAACACAATGAGCAAAGGATAATGCAAATCACATTCAAATCAAAAATACAAATTAAATGTTATTATTCCATTGATATTACCAGCTGAGCAAAAAAAAAAAAAAAATCCTAAGAAAGCAGCCCGGTTGCCATTCTGCTCTTGCACCATTCACAACCTCTCGGCCACCCTCCCTATGCGTACTTCTCCCTGACCCACATGAATAGAATAGAATACAGCTGGAAGGGATCTTGGAGGTCTTCTAGTCCAGCCCCCTGCTCTACCTACACCGTCTCAGACAGGTGAATGGCCAGCCTCTTCTTAAAAACCTCCAGTGATGGAGCGCCCACGATTTCTGGTGGCAGGCTGTTAATTGTCCTCACTGTCAGGAAGTTTCTCCTTAATTCCAGGTTGCTTCTCTCCTTGATCAGTTTCCAACCATTGTTTCTCATCCTTCCCTCTGGTGCTCTGGTGAACAACCTAACCCCTCTTCTTTGTGGCAGCCCCTCAAATACTGGAACGCTGCTATCGCGTCTCTCCTAATTCTTCTTTTCTTTAGACTAGTCAAACCCAAGTCCCGCAGCTGTTCTTCGTATGTTTTAGTCTCCAGGCCTTGGATCATCTTAGCTGCTCTTCTCTGAATTTTTTCCAGTTTCTCAACATCTTTTTTGTGATATGGTGACCAAAATTGGCTGCAGTATTCCAGGTGTGGCCTTACTAGGTATCTCTTATGCACCAATGTGCATCGTCCTCAACCTGTACCCCTCACCTTACCCTGATCTATGCTGTACCTTTCCCACACCCTTTTGCACACATCTCCTGTACCGCTCTTGTGCACTCCCATACACCATCCCCATCCTCTGCCCTTCCCCTCCCTTCCTCCCCCGTCTAGCAGCAGTCACCTGCCTGCAGGGCCAGGGTCTTGTTATTTCCTGCCGGCTTCCCCACTGACTTTGGTTGTGGGGAAGCGATCAGGAAGTTGCGTTGCCTAACGACAGTGGGATTCAGTGAACGATGGTAACTGGGATTGCAAGTACTGCCATTGCTAAAGTTAAGTGATGATGGAAAGAGGGGATATGGAGAGGTATGTGGGCTGGGGAGACTTAGCCCAGCGATTGGAGATCTTCCCTGCTGGTGTCTCCTTTTGAGTTTCTGGGGAAGCCGGCAGGGAAAGTTGCAAATGGTGATTTTGTGATCTTAGGCGCGCTTGGCAATTGGTTGTGAAAATGGGTTGCCAAACACCATAGATCGCGGTCATGTGACTGCGGGGATGCTGGGATAGCCAGAGATTCAAGGAGCGGACATTTAGTGGTGTCTTAACTTCCAACGGCCACTGAATGAACGATTGTAAATCGAGGACTAGCTAGAAGTGAAAGATCTTTGAAATAGATATATATATTTTTCTCATTCGGAAAAGAGTAGTATTATAAGTAGGTTAACCTTCCCCCTGGGTCCATTGTCCAGATTCAGATTGTCCCACAAGTGTTACATGGTCACTATTCTCCAGGGAAGAAGGTTAGATGATTGTAAACATTACATTTTCCAAGACAGCTTGCTCGTTCTCGGATTCTTGTCGTACCGAAGATGGCAAGAGGTCATCGGACCAAGCAAATACTTCATTAACCGATTCCTGGTATTAAAAGAAGAGGGGGGAAAAGTGGATCGGTGCCAGCTCTGCTCTGTTCTGCTCCTGTGTTTATTATTCTGCAGCAAATGAATTGTTAAAATGGAGTCTGTATTTCTCCGCTGAATGTTATACTTCACAAAAAAAAAAGAAAAAAGAAAAAGAAATAATGAGAAAATAATGGAAGAGGAAAGTGAAAAACATGACATCCTATTGCTGTGGTGGCGAACCTATGGCACGGGTGCCAGAGGTGGCACACAGAGCCCTCTCTGTGGGTACGCGCGCCATCGCCCCAGTCCTAGGCCTTCAGCTGGGTTTTATAAAACCTTTTCGCTTTAGGCCTCCGCCGCCGTGTGCAAAAAAAAAAAAAAAAAGGGTCAATCAGTCAATTTCAACTTCTCGCGGGAAAAAAAAAGATCTCGCAAAGTTGGAATTGATTGATTGAACTTTTTAGTCCCATCCAGTCTGCCGTTACCACCGCAGCCACGCCCACTCAATGGGCCATGCCCACCCAGCACCTGACGATACATGTGGGTTTTGGGTTGCAGTTTGGGCACTCGGTCCCTAAAAGGTTTGCCATCATTGTCCTATTGCAAACAATTCTGTGTTTCGGGCAATTCTTAATTGGAAACACAAAATATTATGACTTCTTTTTTTCTCTGAGACCCTTCACACCCCTAAAAATTCTCCTTCAGTATACTGAGGGTTGAACTGAAGCTATGAAATCCCCATTGAACTGGATAGCTTATCACCTCACTGGATAAATTGAGATCAAATTTTATCTTTTAATCCAACCACAGGATTCACATCATGAAAAAACAGGGCTAGAAGAGCCATATTCCTGCAGGCAAATCAGATATAAATCCCATTTATCTGGGCATTTGTGAATGAAATGATATAGTCCATAATATTTATGAACTGTGTCTTTACCAAATTTACATTTTAACTGTGGCTCATCATTGTTATAAATGTTAATGTTGTAAGTCATCAGGAATTATGCTTTGGTATGAGAAAAGCTATAAATAGATACTTTAGTAAGTAAATATAAATAAGTGATCATTTAAGTGACAGTACCCAGATGAGCTTGTGATCTCTAAAAGTTAAGCAGGGAAGGATTTGGCTAATATTTGTAAAAATACTAATCAAATAGGAATATCAGGACCTGGAAAGTTTGAAAGTCAAAAATATAACCGTCTCACTCCTGTTCAAGAGTGTGATGGAATTTTAGACATCTGGGATGTTAATTATTAACATTTTAGAAGGTTTAGGAGGAGGAAGCTGTAATTTGTCAAGCCCAGTTTACCCATTTTGATGGAAATACACCTATTGCTTAAACTTATTAAAGCTTAATTTGTTCTGAAAGTACTTACCATAGTTTTAGAAACTGTATTATCATCCCTTTTGTTTCTGCCGCTTTGTAACACAGATTCTGTTTGGGGATAATTTGTGTCCTGCGGTATATTTAAACTTTCTGCTATTGATAGTTCTATATTGATAATAAAAGAAAGAAGTTAAATTCTTGCCCAATGTACTTACCAATTAATTGCCATTAGCGATAAATAATCATTTGCATATAATCTCAGCTTATACTATTTAAGTTTTGAAATTTCCAATATGTCCAAATTGCAGTTCACCATATTCTGGTCAAACATTTAAGGTTTTTTTTTCCCCACAAAGCAATGAGGTACCACTTATGAGGTCTTTATTCCCATCATCTTTACTAGATAGAAAAGGATGTAAAACAAATGCACTAAAAATGTAAAGAAAAATGTGAATGATTTCAATTTAACAACTAATGCAATAATAATAATAATAATAATAATAATAATAATAATAATAATAATAATAATAATAATAATAAAAATAATAAAAATAATAAAAATAATAAAAATAATAATAATAATAGTAAAGTTGGAAGGGATCTTGAAAGTCATCTAGTCCAACCCCCTGCTCAGGTAGGAAGCCCTATACCATTTCGGACAAATGGCTGTCCAGTCTCTTCTTAAAAACTTCCAGTGTTGGACCATTCACCGCTTCTGGAGGCAGGTTGTTCCACTGGTTAATTGTTCTCACTGTCAGGAAGTTTCTCCTTAGTTCTAGGTTGCTTCTCTCCTTGATCAGTTTCCATCCGTTGCTTCTTGTCCTGCCTTCAGGCGCTTTGGAGAAGAGCTTGACTACCTCTTCTTTGGGGCAGCCCCTGAGATACTGGAAGGCTGCTATCATGTCCCCCCTCGTCCTTCTCTTCGTTAAACTAGACATCCCCAATTCCAGCAGCCTTTCCTTATATGTTTTTAGCCTCCAGTCCCCTAATCATCTTTGTTGCTCTTCTCTGTACTCTTTCTAAAGCCTCAACATCTTTTTTACATCGCGGTGACCAAAACTGGATGCAGTATTCCAAGTGTGGCCTTACCAAGGCATTGTAAAGTGGTATTAACACTTCACGTGATCTTGATTCTATCCCTGTTAATGCAGCCCAGCACTGTGTTGGCCTTTTTGGCAGCTATATTTTTGTTAGCCATAAGCTAGCCCCCACCCCTTCTCCTGGTACCACTTCAAGATACTTTTTGTAAAAAAAAAAAGTTCTTCAATCTTTTATTTCGAAAATTATCCTCAGTTGTAGTTTTATCTTCTTTAGGTAAACATGACCCCACCCCTAGCTACTTTGGGATATTTTATTCACATTGGCTTTGTAGATTTAATTATATTTCTGTATTCCTTTAGATGCTCTTAAAACTGATCTAAATTGAAGAGAAGGTTGATAGATCCTATTTTTTTATTAAAATATAAGCTTTATTTTGCCTTAAAAATGGACATAATTCTTTGAATTAACATAAAGATGTAACCCTTGCTACAGGTAGTCCTTGATTTAAGACAGATCACTTAGTGACTGTTTGAAGTTACGATCTATCTGAAAAAGAGAACATGACCCAAATCTGAAATTGTGATGGTTGGCTCCCCCTCCTCACAGTCATGTGACCACACTTTGGGAGCTTGGCAACACAGCCGCATTTATGACTGCTTGCAAGATCCTGTGGTCACTTGACAGCATTTTATGACAGTTTTGTGGAACACTAGCGCTTACTTCCAGTTTTGGGCAAAACCAAGTCCACAGCAAACAATGGACTTGCACTTATGACTGCCATGCTTGCTTAACGACGGCAAAAATGGTCACGTAACCAAACCGTGTATCTAGCATTATAGCAACAGCACTTAGCACAAGACTTATGTACTGCTTCATAGTGCTTTACAGCCCACTCTAAGCAGTTTACAGAATCAGCCTCTTGCCCCCAACTATCTGGGTCCTCATTTTACCAACTTCAGAAAGATGGAAGGCTGAGTCAGCCTTCAGTCAGCCAGGATCGAACTCCAGGCTATGGGCAATTAGTCTGCAATACTGCAGATAGATAGATAGATAGATAGATAGATAGATAGATAGATAGATAGATAGATAGATAGATAGATAGATAGATAGATAGATAGATAGATAGATAGATAGATAGACAGACAGACAGACAGACAGACAGACATAGATAGATAGCACTTAGCAATAGCACTTAGACTTATGTACTGCTTCACAGGGCTTTACAGCCTTCTCTAAGCGGTTTTCAGAATCAGGCTCTTGCTCCCAACAATCTGGGTCCTCATTTTACCGGCCTCGGAAGGACAGAAGGCTGAGTCCACCTTGAGCCTTGTCAGAACCAAACATAAATCGTAATTATGATTTATGACCATAATGGGCAGGCTTCATTACAGTCATAACTCGAGAACTACCATGGGTATATTTGAGGACTTTCTGCTCTAGAGAAATACCAAATGTACAGGTATAGTATAGGGGGTACCTTGCTCAATAGTAATAACTGTGAGAGGGATCTCAGAGTCCTAGTGGACAATCCCTTAAATAGGAGCCAGCCGTGTGCTGCAGCTGCCAAAGAAGCCAACACAGTGCTAGGCTGCATTAACAGAGGAATAGAATCAAGATCACGTGAAGTTTTAATACCACTTTACAATGCCTTAGTAAGGCCACACTTGGAATACTGCATCCAGTTTTGGTCACCACGATGTAAAAAAGATGTTGAGACTCTAGAAAGAGTGCAGAGAAGAGCAACAAAGATGATCAGGAGACTGGAGGCTAAAACACACAAAGAACGGTTGCTGGAATTGAGTGATCGAGGTCACTGGATGATTTTGGGCAAGTCTCTCTCAGCCCAATCAATCACGCAGTTTGTTGCGAGTATAAAATTCAAAGAAACATTGGTAAACTACCTTAAGACCACAAAGAAGAAGAGGTAAGCAATTACAGGTAGTCCTCAAATTACAACCATGCATGTGTTTTTCACACGACTGTTGCAGCATCCCCCATGGTCACATAATCAAAATTGGCAACTCATATTTATGAGAATTGCAGTGTCCTGGGGTCACCTTCTGAGACCTCCTGATAAGTAAAATCAATGGGGAAGCCAGATTCACTTAACAACCGTTATATATTCAAGATGGACAGTATTTAATATTTATTTGCTACGTATATGTAGGGATGTGGGTCTATACATATGTTGTTCATAGTATGTTTAGGTGTGCGTCATGTATGTGTCTCACTTTGAGAGCGGGCAACTAAATTTCATTTTTGATGTGTGCCGTTGTGCCCACAGTAAAAAAATGACAATAAATGTTATCTTATCTTATCTTATCTTATCTTATCTTATCTTATCTTATCTTATCTTATCTTATCTAACCAAGTTACTAACTTAACAACTGCTTAGCAACAGAAAGTTTGCGTTCAGTTGTGGTCATAAGTCAAGGACTACCTATATGATATTAAAGAGTTATAGGGGGGGGAATCTAAAGTCCTGCCTTGGGCACTTTGTTGTTTGCTTCTTTCTTCAGTCTCTTGCTGCCATTTTTTTCTTCCATTCTTCAGACACTTAGCATACAGCTGCAAAAAAAACCCCACAAACTAACATCAGGCAATTTGATAAGTCTTAACATTGCTTGAGCTATTTGTGGTTACAGAAAGCTTTCTAGGGCTACTCAGCAGCGTTTAATTCATAATTAAATATATTGTCTAGGTATAGAACTGTCAAGTTATTTCAAATGTGAGCCTTCACGTGAGCTGTACTCTATTTTTTTTTTTAGCGTTGCCAAGAAGCCCTTTATTGCTCTACAAAGTGATCCCTCTATCAGCCAGATCAATTTAGAAACAGTTTGTTCCAGGAATCCATCAGTTAGGTTGCTGCTAGACCAAAGGTCCCCAACCTTTTGGGCACCAGGGACTGTTTTTTTCTAAAAAAAAAAAAACCCTGCAGGAACTAGTCCAGGCATTCACCAGGAGTCAAAAACTGTGTTGAAGGCACAAAAGAACTCCTCACTCCCCCAAAGTAGCAAATAGCCACCATTATGAGAAACTCTTCACTTGGTCCTTCACCTGCCCTCCACCCAACATTTAAATCTATGAAACCATCTAGGATGGTGAAGGCTTACACATGTTTAGTTTGTGTTATATAGCAATAATGAAAAGAGCATATAAGGGCGTAAATTTGTTACCCTCTGCAGATCTTCACTAAAGAAAGGTTGGGTGGGTCTGGTCAGAAGTTTGTCTACGCTACCCAACTCTTGTAAAATCATCAGCTTCCTTGTTGGAGGTGCAATATGCAAAGCGGTTAGCGTATCCTTGTAACTTGTAAGCTGCTTTTGCATGGTAGCTTTGCTGAGCTGCTTCACTGCGTCAACAAGTAACTTCCTTTTCCTTTTACTTCTTTGTTTCTTTAGGAGAGCTAGATACAAGACACATTCACAAATGACATGTTATATACCAAACAGGGAGTGCTAAGCAGATAATAATCACATCAGTGGTGGGATTCAAATATGTGAACAACCGGTTCTCTGTGTGGAGGCCTACTTTAGAATAGAATAGAATAGAATAGAATAGAATAGAATAACAGAGTTGGAAGGGACCTTGGAGGTCTTCTAGCCCAACCCCCTACTCAGGCAACAACCCCTATACCATTTCAGGTTTTCAAGGTTCTGATATGCTCTTTAACAATAAGATAGATTTCCAGTAAGTCTCGTGTTCTTCAGCTGGCTTACTTTAACAGCTGAAAACTGGACAATTAGATTTAGATTTATTATTGTAATTAATTATATTTTATTTTGAACTGTGTTTTGTATGTAAGTTAGGCAGTAGGCAAATGCTGCGAATAAATAAACGAACGAATGAATGTAACATAAGGACAATCTAAGGAAGACTAAGAGATGACCGCTTCTATTGAAAAAACTGTTTACAGTGAAATGCTTTTCTGGATTTGCCATCACTTCTATGTTGCATTTTTATTCACGACAGAAACAAATAATTCTAACCTGAATCAACAATAGGACAAAGAACAAAGCCGTCCTCCTCATTGCACAACAACGTTGTTTCATTAAGTTGGTGATTTCGTGTTTTATGTTTAGATGCAGCCTGGTCCAGATCAAAAGTAGGTCCTGCTGATTCAGACAGTCACAGAGTCAGGAGTATGATTCAGGTCGCTGAGTCCAATTTCTGTTCAGCAAGAGAATTCAGTGGAGCTCACCTTCAGGTTTAGCCTGTTTGGGACTTAATAACCTAAATGTCTTGCAGAGATATTTTCTTGATTCAAGACTAAAAGAATGGAATCAATTGTACCTATCATTTTTTTCCTGTCTGTCTGTCTATCTATCATCTATTAATCTATGAATTCATATCTATCTATCTATCTATCTATCTATCTATCTATCTATCTATCTATCTATCTATCTATCTGTCTGTCTGTCTGTCTGTCTGTCTGTCTGTCTGTCTGTCTGTCTGTCTGTCTGTCTGTCCGTCCGTCCGTCCGTCCGTCCGTCCGTCCGTCCGTCCGTCCATATCTATCTATCTATCTATCTATCTATCTATCTATCTATCTATCTATCTATCTATCTATCTATCTATCTATCTATCTATCTATCTATCTATCTATCTTTTTTTGTTCTGTCAATCATGTTTTCTGTCTGTCTGTCTATATCATTTTCTCTCTCCCATCTATCATTTTTCCCCTCTCCGCTGTCTCTTTTTCTCTCTGTTCTCTCACAAGAAATGACTCTGGGCCATGTACAACAATTTTCTTATGACCGTGTGGCTAAGAGCATGTCCTTTTTCACAGCAGTGGCCATGCTGTGGAGATCCCTCTGGAAATTTGTGTCACTTCACATACCAATGTTGGGTCTTGAAACCTGAGTGATTTAAGTTGGCTTCAGTATTATTAAAATATTGCTGCCTTATGTTTTTCAGACATTCTGTTGCTCTGTGTTTTGATTCTGGATTTCATCTGTTTTATTGCAAATCAGTTTTAAAGCCTTAGGATGGAAAAGTGGCTTACAGTAGAAGCAAATCTTTTGCTAATAAATTCAACAATTTTGTACTAGGTTTTTTTCACTGAAGAAACTCAAAGGAACTTTAAGGGGAAAAAAACCTTGCATGCATCTGTTGAATTAGAACTAATCAAGAAATATGACTGCATCTATTCAGGGCTGAATTAAAGTCTTTAACTTTATTTATGGTTTTATAATGGTCGTGCTTTACTTAATTATTATTGATATGAATAGCTAATTCTCTTATTGTTAAGAAAAAAATGTTATACAGAAATTGCCACAGAAAGTTAGGCTTTTTTTGCTTTTCACTTATTCTAATCTTATTTACTCTCAAGTTTTTTTCCCTCATAGTAATTTATAAGTAAAAATAACAACTTACACATACGAACAAGCTGATTCTATGAGAGCTAATGCCACAATAAACACACTTAAAATTAAAATACAATAAACTCCAGCGTTGTATTTGCAGATACAAACTAATATAGTTATCTGTCTAGAAGTTTAATTTCTAGAAGCATTATTTCACACTAGTAAAACAGTTTAAAGTAAAGCAGCTATAAACTTACTTTTTCTGTTATCAATTGGATCTTTGTTGGGTAAAGGAAGTTCCTCTTCTATGTCAAATATTGCAAGGAGGCCATTCTGGTCAGTTCCAAGAACATCATCTTAAGAAAATAATTATAGTACATAAAATAAAAACCATTTTATGTACATAACTACATATTTTATACAGGTAGTCCTAGACCTAGACTTACAACTATTTGTTTAGTGACTGTTTGAAGTTACAATGACACTGAAAAAAGCAATTGATGACCAGTTCTTACAATTTATGCTGACTGTTGCAGGATCCCCATCATCGCAATATCAAAATTGGGAAGCAGGCACTGGGCAACTGGTATGTATTTATGACAGTTACTCTAGCCCACAGGTTGGCAACCTGCGGCTCCGGAGCCACATGTGGCTCTTTAACCCTTCCCCTGTGGCTCCCAGCCTCCTCTGCCATTTGCAGAGAGAGACAGAGAGAGGCACTTGCGCTTTGCTTCCCTTCTCTCTCTCTCTCTCTCTCTCTCTCTCTCTCTCTCTCTCTCTCTCTCTCTCTCTCTCTCTCTGTGTGTGTGTGTGTGTGTGTGTGTGTAGAAAAGACAGTGGCCTCTCCCTGTTTGACGAGCTGACAAGCTTACTGGGTGGGGCTCCTGCCTTGGCTGCGGTTCTGCAGGAAGCAGGAAGGACAGGAGAGAGCTAGCTAGCCCAGCTATGCTGGCTCAGGAATTCTGGGAGTTGAAGTCCATGAGTCATAAAAGAGCCGAGGTTGCCTCTCCCTGAGCTTGTTGGAGAACAGCTTGAAGCCAGCTTGCCAGGTGAGCAGAAGATCGGAGAGAGGGAGGGGGGGAGAGAAAGAGGGGGGGGGAGAAAAAGACAGAGAGAGAGGGAGGGAGAGAGAGGGGGGAGAGAAAGAGAGAGAGAGAGGGAGAGAAAGAGAGAGAGCGAGGGAGAGAGAGAGAGAGGAAAGAGAGAGAGAGAGAAAGAAAGAAAGAAAGAAAGAAAGAAAGAAAGAAAGAAAGAAAGAAAGAAAGAAAGAAAGAAAGAAAGAAAGAAAGAAAGAGAGTGGGGGAAGAGGACTGGCAGACCAAGGGCAGAGAGAGGGAGAGGGAGAGAGAAGGAGGGAGGGAGGGAGACAGAGACCCTTTTGACATCAAAAATGAAGATAATACTGCATATATCCTTTTTTACCTTTATGAGTGTGTGTGTGTGTGTGTGTGTGTGTAAAAAGATATATGCAGCGTTATCTTCATTTTAGATGTCAAAAGGGTTTTGCGGCTCCCTGTGTTTTGTTTTCGGTGGGAAATGGGTTCAAGTGGCTCTTTGAGTGTTTTGGGTTGCCTACCCCTGCTCTAGCCCAAGTCATGGGATCAACTTTTGAGACTTTCCCAGCTGGCTTCTGACAAGCAAAGTCAATGGGGGAAGCCAGTTTTGCTTAATGACCATATGATTCAGTTAACAACTGCAGTGATTTGCTTAACAACCACGGCAAAAGGACGTAAAATGGAGTACGACTCACTTAGCAACTGCCTTGCTCAGCAACAGAAATGTTGGGCTCAATTGTGACTGTAAGGCGAGGACTATGTAGAAAATGCAAAAGGCTTTACTAGAACATAACAAACTTACTAAACGTTTGGGGTAACTTATGCACATCTTAGAAAATCTACTGGTCAGCTATAGTTAGAGTGGATTTTGTTCATACTTACCAATCATATCTCTTCCAGCTCCTTCATCTCCAAATCCATCATACCCTAGTGCCATTTTGTCTCCAGTTAAATTCAAACAACTGTGATCAGCCAGGAGACTATTGGAACTATTTATTAAACTGTCACTGAAAAAGCTACCGTGCCTTGGAATTTCAATTTCGTCATCTGTGAGAGATACATATGCGTGACTCAGCTATGTTTATATATCTCGGACATACAATACTTTGCAGCGAGTTAAAATCAGTTGCTTATTAAAAATTGAACCCAGAACGCAACGTTTGAAAATGAAATTAAAAACCCTTTGTATTTTGTTTTACGAGGAAAAAAAGCTGCGGCCTCACTCACCAAAATTGACACCATTGAGAACAGTCTGCCCATAAAATTCTGTCAATGTGATGTCCTCAGTTTTGCTCTGGTGCAGTGTAAAATGTTGGGCGACCTCAATGGCCCTATTAGAAAAGGAAAAATAATGAAATATGGGATGATTTTATAAAAACAGTTTTGGGGGTAGGCAAAGGGAATAAACCTGCTCAAGAATATATGCTGTTTTGGAGGGGATAAGGGCACAATTGAAATATACTGTATATTGTTAGTTGTTATATGAGAAGAAATATAGGTAATAAAAATGGTCTCCAGAGGTGTGGGTGCACTGTAGTATTTGTATTTTATATTGTTTTTTATTTAGATTCATATGTGTTGTACTATTTGTATTATTTATATGTGTTGTATTATTTCTATTTGAATAAAATAAAAATTATTTAAAACATTTAAAAAAAAAGAAAGGATTTTAGGAGATGCTACATAACCGGACCATAACTTCCTACTTCAGAAAATGTATCCATTCAATATTTTAATATATTTGGTCCTAATTAAATTGCATTTCCACCGCCCTTAACTTACTACTCCATAGTACGATTAAGAAATGTTTAGTAGTACAGATTAACTAACAAGGGCTGCTTCAGTTACTACATTCAACTTTCTTTATCCCAAAAATATAGTTCAAGAATTAAAAATGAGCAATGTACAGGTAGTCCTCGACTTATGACCATAATTGGGTCCAACATATCTGTTGCTAAGTGAGACATTTGTTAAATGAGTTTTGCCTCATTTAACAATCTTTTTTGCCATAGTTGTTAAGAGAATCACTGTAGCTGTTAAGTTAGTAACACAGCTGTTAAGTAAAGATGGCTTCCCCATTGACTTTCTTTGTCAGAAGGTTGCAAAAAGTGATCACACGACCCTGGGGCAGGGCAACCTTCATAAGTACATGCCAGTTGCCAAGCCTCTGAATTTTGATCACGTGATCACGGGGATGCTTCAATAGCCGTAAGTGTTAAAAACGGTCATAAGTCACTTTTTTCAGGGCTGTTATAACTTCAAACGATCACTAAATGAATTGTTGTAAGTCAAAAACTATCTGTATTTTATCAGGTCTATCATTATTGTAAAAACATTACTCTGGACTATGAAAAAGTTTAAGAAAATCCAATTAATCCCCATGAAGGAAATTTAGTGCTCTCTGTGCTGTTCTGACCTATAGTAAATCTCGCCTGAGTAAGTGGATTGAAAGCAGAGAAGTGATCCCTTACAATCAAGTCATAACTATATAGAAAATAAGAGTTGTTTGATATTCAGGATGCTGAGAGGGAGGGAAATGAGAGCAGAATGGAAAATGGCACTGAGAAAAGCTGTATTAAAGTGACAGATGAACTACAACTAGATCGAACTGTGGATTTGCCAGGCAAGGAGAGACAGTACTTCAAATTCATCGTCATAAAAAATAAAAGATATAATGGGAAAGGAACCATAGAGCAGTACAGTCCTTGACCTACGACCACAATTGAGCCCCACATTTTTGTTGCCGAGACCGTCGTTAAGTGAATTTTGCCCTATTTTACAAACTTCCTTGCCACAGTTGTGTTCAGTGAATCACTGCAGTAGTTCAGTGAGTAACAATGTTGTTAAGTGAATCTGGCTTCCCCATTGACATTGCTCGTCACAAGATGACAAAAGGTGATCATGTAACTCCAGGATACTGCAACTGTCGTAAATATGAGTCAGTTGCCAAATGTCTGAATTTTGATCACATGACAATGGGAATGCATTTGCAATGATCATAAGGGTGGAAAACAGTCATAGGTGACTTTTTTCCAATGCCGTTGTTAACTTTGAATGGACACTAAATGAATGATTGTAAGTCAAGGACTACCTGGAGCCGAGAAAGAGGATTGTGATTTTGTTCCTCCACATGTACAGGTAATCCTTGACTTATAACAGTTCATTTAGTGACCATTCAAAGTTACAATGGCACTGAAAAAGGGGACTTATGACTATTTTTCACACAACAGTTGTAGCCTTCCCATGGTCACATGATCAAAATTCAGAAGCTTAGCAACTGGTTTGTATTTATGACAGATGCATTGTCCCGGGATCATCTGATTACTTTTGTGATCTTCTGAAAAGCAAAGTCCATGGGGAAGCCAGATTCACTTAACAACCATGTTATTAACTTAACTGCTAAGTGATTCACTTAACAACTGTGGCAAGAAAAGTCGTTTAAAAGGGGTCAAAACTCACTTAACAAATGTTTCACTTAGCAACATAACTTTTGGGCTCAATTGTGGTCATAACCTGAGGACTGCCTGTAATGTAGAAGCATGCATATTTTCTACTATAAAGTTTTGAGTAATTCACCGTCTGTGAGAAAAGAGAATTCGGAGGGAATTCACTCCCTTTTCACTTGTTCTATACATAGCAATAAACAATATTTACTTCGTGTCTGGAAGTTGGGTGTCAAAATCATGAAACTCTTCAGGCAATGTGATGGCATCATAATTTGCCTCAGAATTTCCTTTAGGAAGGTCAACAAGCCCTGAAGAAAAATGCACAACATAAGATTAACTGTGGGATGATGTAGCTTTATACAGCCTGCAAGATAAAAATGGACAGGTATTTGAGGGCATCCAGCAAATGCACTCACATTTTTTAAACTTTCACCTAGTACAAGGTCCCTTCCAGCTCTGTTCTATTCAACAGAAGACATTAATTAGATGGCAGAAAAATGTGCAGAGAAGAGCAACAAAGATGATCAGGGGCCTGGAGGCTAAAACATATAAGGAATGTTTGCAGGAATTGGGAATGTCTAGTTTAATGAAGAGAAGGACAAGGGGGGACATGATAGCAGTCTTCCAATATCTCAGGGGCTGCCCCAAAGAAGAGGGAGTCAAGCTATTCTCCAAAGCTCCTGAAGGTAG